ATCTCATTTCAGAGCCACAGGCCAATGCAGATGTAGGTGAGAAGGCAACAGCAGGGCTCAAACAGGTGCAACATTTTCAAACACTTATGAATTCTATGGTTTTAAGCTGTGTTCTGGGAGCTAGGTAAGGCTACTATCCTTCAGCTTAGGAGCTGTTCAAAACACCATTCAATTGAAAAGGTAGTAGCAACTGCAAATCATAGATTTCACAGATGAAAACAGGGGATCCAAAAGCAGACTGTACTAAATGGGATTCATTAGGTAAAATTCCTGCCAAGGACTAAAGCCATACCAAACTCAAGAGCTCTTAGAGAAGCTCATGAAACAAATGATGCACTGGTAACCATTTGACAGCACCTCTTGTTGATCAGCTCCTCCCTCCCGTGAGAGCTGGGCGCAGCACGGAGCTGACGCTGTGCAGGGACACGCATGGCACCGGTGCTGTGCTAGCACAGGGATGCCACCCTGCCCCACTGCTGGGCCCAGCAACAACACACATCCCCTTCTTCACTGGAGCTCCCTTCTGCCTCCACCCCGATGCACTGCAGGCAGTGGGAAGGAGCTGAAGCCTGCTCCTGCCTCCTGCTTGTCACGGAAAAAAGATGCTGAAGCGTCTCTGCGGTTGCCATGGGAATAGGATGGCAAGTGCTGGGAGCAGGAGTGAGTAACAGCTCAGAAACTGCCTCCCTGCACAGCTACTGCAAGCTTCAAGAGACTTCCAAAAAAACAACACAGAGAGCTCCCGTGCCCTGCCTTGTGTTTGATACCACGCAATTCATCTGCTGCTGGTCTCACTGTTCTCTTCCAGTGCATCACAGGACCCCTCAGAGCACAGGGTGTCTGTTCCTAACGCGGTGCTGCTCTTCTGCTTCACCAAGAGCATCATTTTGTCTGATTAGGAACAGAAAAGGCTGAACCTCGGGGCCTGTATTTACACATTTTTAGTACTGGTGCATGTTGCATGCGATGGGACCAGGTACAACAGTTAATGTTGCATCCAGCAGGATGCAAATCAAATTAGTCCACCTGTTTATATACTTATTTTCCAAGCAAACAGAAGGAAGCATGCTGGCAAAGTTCACATATACCTGTATGTATTTATATACCTGTCATGTCCTAACCAAACAGAATCCTGAATTTCCACAAATAAAAGCTCACAGGAAAAGGGGAGGGAGGAAAACCAGAAATAGGCACTTACAGCTGTCAGAAAAGTCTAAAAATTTGTACTAGCAGAGATGCAGGGAACAAATATAGGTTACTAGCCCCTCCTGGGATATCCAGGAATTAAAATACATTAATTCATTTTCATTGAGGGTTTCCTCCATTGGAGAGTGATTTCCCTTTTCACACACAGAAACAGCAACAGCCACAACCCCAGGGAAGTTCAAGAAGTTACACTACATAGCTATAAACAAAGGGATAATCCTCTACAGTTCTCACCTAGTTCTCTGACAGTGTCTTTCTCCATCATGAAGGGAGATAATCTCTTTAATGAGTAAAATATAGGAAGAAGAAGAAGAGGGAAAGGTGGCCTGAAGGCAGCAGACGTTGACAGAAAAGTGTCACTGCAAGCTCAGCAAACACACAGGAAGGGAGACAAAGCACTGGAAAGATGTTTTGTATGACTTGTGGGTTTAGGAAAAATCCTCAATTACTTATTGACATTGCTTCTATAATTATAAATAAACCCTTTGGTTAGACAAAAGTCAAGATTTTCTCACTTATAAAGTGCTCAATCTGTTTGGTATGTACACTCCCTCTTTGAAAACAAACATGGGAAAATGCCACAGAACTGACTCAAGACAGGACACAGCAGTCTCTGATATTTCAAATTCATTTTTCATTTAATATATACTTTTCATCCCTACATGATCATAGGTGAGCCTGCTCACCAGAAAAATACTCCACGTGACCCTACAGCCTCTTGTAGCCCTGAAAGAAAAACATTTAAAAACTGCAAGTCCCACTCCTGAGTATTCCCATCCATCCAAGTATGGGATTCTGCCTGAGAGACAGACAGCCCAGTCTTATAAAATCTTCCATTTGTACATCCCCAAGAGCCCAATGGGACCACGTCTTGGCCAGATGTGTGCTCTGGTTACAGGTTACAGGAGGAGGAAATGCCTGAATGAGTGGGCCTACAGACACACATTGAGGTGAGAAAACTGACTTCTAGTCCTCTAAAATAAACATGCAGAATCACACTCAAAAGGTCTATGTATGAAATAGTTGAAGAAGCCCACAGCTCCAAGTCCATACTCAAGATCTGGGTGTGAACTACAGCAGAAATCTCCTGATGACCCTCACAAGAAGTTCATCTGAGAGAGATGAGGCTGAGAAAAAGCACTGCAGTCAACCATGTGACTCAAAATAAGGAGAGCTCAAAAAACCTGAAAAACAACTGAGCCACAAGAAGAATGATAACATTCTCTTCCTAAAAGAAAATGCAGAACAATTTGGGCTAGTATTAAAAAATGCAGCTGATAACTTAATCAGGGCAGAGTATGTACCAAATCAGTTGAAAGATACAATTATATGCTCAATTTCAGTAGGACTGTAGTCCACCGTGGCCCATCCTATCTCTACACATTAGCCACTACCTCAAAGGTGCTTTACTTCAAGCACAGCAACGACACAAACCCAGAGGCCACACACACTGTTAAACAAGAGGATGGTGCCAATATTGCAGCTCCAACCTTTCCTTGTTTCCAACAGAAAGGTGGTGGTAGGAAATTACCCTCCTCTTTCAGAGCTGCCACACAGCCATCCATAGCAAGGAGCTACAGAGGTGACAGCCTACTGGTGATGAATATACAGGAGAAAATATGGAGGAGACAGGAGAAACCACCAGGATGCATGCAGAAGGGAGTGAAGGAGAAAGTCAAGGAAACTTAAGAGTGAAGTGAACAGACACACTACACTGGAAAAGTTTCTATCAGAACAATAGAAAATTGATACTGAACAATACAATCCCTCTGGAAATGTAAATTTTAAAGATAATTGTGTTAAAGGTCACGGGACCATGGAGTATAATACTTTCCAGGAATACTTTCACTAACCTTCAAGGTGACAAGGTGACAAAAAGAACAGTAGAAAAATCTAAATTTAAATGCCAACATTTACCTTTCAGTCACGGTACTGACAGGCAGAGTACATTAAGCAAGGGGGAAGATGCTGAAGCTACTCTAGACTAGAATAGTATTCTGTTCTCATTTGCACACATACCAATCAGGAGATAATTTGGGCAAGGCAATAAGCTAGTAAGGGTATCCATTTCCATAAACACTTATTTATGTGTAATGTATGCAACGTCCTTCCCCCCCATTTGCTATTTTTAATTTGAACTGAGCATAGTCTCTCACCCAGCACCTCTGTGATTCACATTTCCTCGTGCCTCCAGAGGCAAGTACATCTAAATATATTTTAGAAGATCACTTCTTTCCACCAGCTCCAGAGAACCGCACAAAGATCCATCATCACTTAACATGCAAATCCCTGCAAACCACCTACTTAGGGAGAACTGTGCAGAGCAACATCAAACTCGCGGCTGGTTTGGGTCTCTATTTCAGTGAGTTTGTAAGCAGCAGAGTCTGTAAGTCAAGCAAGTCATTTTCACATAGCTGGAATTGGCCATTATGTTCGAAAGCATTTATCTGGACGCTGAACAAGTGTTTGTTTCCTGGAATAACCACTTATGGAGCATCCAGATTAGAAAGTACAAACATATTGGCTAAACTGAATTAAAGGCAGTCAGCCACTCCAAATTAAACACTCAAGTGAAGATATTTCCAAATACAGTAGCAACAACTGAGCATCACACAAATGGGGCAGCCTCATGTTTAAAACATAGCACTGAGAGCTATTAGATCTTAGCTTCCCCTCCTACTTCTGCTGCTTGTCTCTTCCTCTTGATCTCAAGTAAATTATTTATTGTCAAGATTTACATTTCCCTAGATTCAAAAAGAGGCAGGCAGGCTCACTTGGCTTTAAAAAGCAGTGCTGCAATAATTAATTCATTATTCTATGCAGAGTACTCTAAAATTATTAGATGCTGCTGCACAAATGTATATTATTAGTGCTATTATATTCCACTAGCAATTCCCAAAATAACTCTACCTTGGATGAATTTATAGTAATCTAAATTGAGTGGTACCTTGAGTCTTGAACCAGAATCTTGTCTATGGTAGTGTAAAATGAAGGAAGGAAAACAATCTAGATGTGATCCTAACAGGGTTTCTCTTGGCACTATTCTATGGCCATCATTTCCTTCAGCAATGAATTAGACACACATTCACAACCACAATGACAGCAAGCATGTGGAAGGAAAGACCAATCCAGTCAGCTCAGCAGTGAAAGGCAAGGGACCTTGTGTAAATCCTGCAAATGAAACCAGTGCCCCAGCTCCAGCCATGCTGGAAATGCTGCTGTGTCCCCTATCATATAATTCTTCAGAAAAATGGTAAAGAAGATTTTAACTGGTCTTTTCAAAGCTCAGCAAAACTTATTCTTTTACATTTTATTTGCATAAGATTGAGACATCTCTCCAACACTCAATTACATACATTTGCTTATGTGAATGCAAAACATAACCATATGTGCTGCTGGAACTGCTTTTGCTGCAAGTGCAGACTGGACAAATCTACACAGAAATGACCAGTCAGATGTTTAATAGTCCAGGCTGTATCTCTGCTCAGATGCATTTATAAGACAGTGGTAACAACAAATTAAGGGTACAATTAACAGATTCCTGTCTCAAACAACTAACTGAATAACTTTATGTGTCAATCGGGGTGTAAAGTGATGATAGTGTATCAATCCTATCATATTCACCCAATAAGAACAACAGGATTAACCAAATTTTCATTGTCAGTAGGAGCAGCAGTTTTGCTGGAAACTGATCTTACCACGTGACCATTTTACTTGGCAACTATTTAAGAGGTGTATTCTATAGCACACCTATGCAACCCAAGTGACACCCCTAAACGCCCTGTTTTCATTACCTGTTGGTCATCTGGAGTCCATATGCCACAGGTGATCTGACTCTCCAAGTTTATTTCCGAAGACCAGTGTCTCTGTCCGCTGACCGAACCGACCAGCACAAATCCATCTCTGTAGGAGATAAGTGCCTGAGTCCCATCATGGCTCCATGTAAAGTCGCTTACCTTAACATATCAAAGACAAGAAAACAGATATATGAGCCATGTAGGATTTTTTTTCTGTTTTAATAAAAGGCAGCAGTGTACAGAATGACACAGGCCAACTATTAGCCCAGCTGAAGCTGTGATGTCATAATTGCCAGTTGACTTTGTGACAATTCTTGCACATTCCTTTCAATAAACAAACGTATCGTTTTCTCCTGTGCTTTTTGAAAGGTATAAAGTCCCACTCCTTGTACTCTTCATTTGGCCTCTCAGGACCTGATCACTCTTGGCTGCAGAGAAACCATGCATACCAACCTGTGCCCCACGATCGTTCACGAGCTCCACAGACCATCTGCCTTCGTATTGTATCCAAACAAATATTCCTCCATCTGCATCGCAGGTTGCTAATTTCTGGAATGGTTCATTCCATCTCACCAGCACAACCTTAAAAGATTACAAACAAAACCAGCATTACTGAAACTGCATGTTGTGCTAACAGCTATTTAACAAGAACCAGCTAAACAACGCTGCCAAATAAATATCATCACATTTAAACCCTAAAGATGCACAAAATAGCAATTTTCGGCCCAGCATTAGGCGCCTCTCAAGAACAGCTGGAATCGTTTTGCCAGAGTTGTCAGGAAATGCACAATCTCTCACCATCAGGCCTTCTTGGAAGGCACTGCACACTCTCAATAAAATCACAGGGAGCACTGGAACACAGGACTCCATTACAGAAGCTGCAAACGGGAAGCCCTGCACAGATTATCCAACACTCCCTCAAATGATTCCCCCACTGTAATCTCAGAGGCTGTCAGACTCTTCATCAAATCATCACCTCTTGCTGACTTCAAATAAAGTGGCATGCTCTGCACACAATTTAAATACTCAGATTGAATACTCATATTCAAAACAACCCCTGAGAGTCTCAAATTATTAAAAACCAGAAATTTCATAGGAAAGTTGCTTTGCTACTGAGTGCAGAAGGAATACAAAGCAGCTTTAGATTCTTCTCTCCACATTAGAGCTATCTGAGCCTTTCTGGAGAATCTAATCAAGTCTAAACCGACCAAACTGCCCTCTCATTTTTAATTAATACCAATTTAACAAATACAGCATCTCTCGAGACCTCAGTATAAAACTGAAAAAAGCATGTCATACTAGTGCCTGAAGCAAAAATTAGCAATAAAACAACTTACTTTCTGTTAGTGATTTTTTCTTAAAAAACATTTTTTCCAAATGAGTTTTTTTCTCAAAAAACCATTTTTTTCCACATTAGTTTTATTTCAAAAACATGCAGATATATATGGGACACTTACATTCACACACAAGTAAATTCCCCCCCAGCTATTTTACTGAGACAGAGAGTATGCAAACAAAGTAAACATATATTAAACACTCAATTAGTAGAGTGTTATTTCAACTACTTAATAAACATCCAGCTGCAATGACACTTTTTCATAAAACTAAATAGATAATTAGTCATCTAAAAGTGACAGGCAAAATTTTCCTGAAATATATTTTGTTGTTTACAGAAATGGACTGATCCTCCTAAAGATGCCAGTCCCAAGATGAGCTTTAAGTAGACAGACCCTTCCCAATTCACAAAGAAATCAGCAGTCATTTTCAGAACTAGGATATTAATATGCATACCTAAAACCTAAACTTGACAGCTGAGGGATGATCTTCCACTTACTTAGTGTCAAGGTCACACCTTAAGAACGTGTCTATCAGTGGAGCTCACCAGCCTGAAGCATCAACCCTTGAAACATTAAACAACCACAAGGAAACCATTTATTTGTTCATAGGTACAGCTTATGGGGGGAAGTAAGTATGACAAATCACATCTCTGCTGTTACACAGCTTAGAAGAATCCCATTTGAGATTTGCAGAAAAACACTGGCTTCTACTTAATATAACCTTGCAGCTGCACTCTAAGTCACCATCCTGTTTCCAGTTGGGCAAATTATACGATGCCCCTAGATGGATTATATCACACTCAGCTTCTAAAAAAAATTCTTATGTTGTAAGAGCAGTAAATAAAATATTCCATTATAGCAATGCAAGCAGATGCATTTTGTTGGAGGTTTCACTCTGTCCCTTCCACCTAAATGAGAATAGCACAGATTTGTCAAAATTTTGTTTTCATTTTGGTATAAATCAAATCCACAGAACCATAATTTCATTCACCCTGAGGCAAAATGCAACAATGAAGTAAGTGTACTTGCCAGCAATGCCAAACAGTATTATGAAAGAAGTGAAGAAAAACTCAAAGATAACACTGAAAAAATATTAATCTTTAAAAGCTGGGAGCTGCTAAGGCTAATGATGACCATTAATGAGTGGAAGGTACTTATCACCACTAAAACATCAATCTTTAAAGACTTAGACACTGCTCATGTTTCACAGATCATACCAAATGAATTCTGCATCAAACCAGAATGAATTGCTAGACAAAATTCAGGGGAAAAAAAAGAGAACTAGTTGTTCAAATAACATGAATGCTTTAGCTAACACCATTAAGAATACTATTGCCCGTCTTAAAATTGCCCTGTTCCGGCTGGCAAAGATTTGAGGTAAACACACCATTTTATAGATTAGACACACAACTTGACTTTGTAATATGAATTATGGGGAAAGTGACAACAGTCACTTTGTTGTGTTTTGTTTACTTTCTATTTTAAATAGGAATCTTGTTAAAACTTGAAAATTTTAATTCAGATTCTGTACAACCTGTCTTTTGTTTAGACTTGATAAAACGTCCAAGACTACATTTGAATGTAAACAAGATTAACTAGAGCCTCCATCCATCTCAATTAGATACAAATTAGTAACTTCCAAAATAAACTTATTGCTTTATAATGAGAAATGAAAGCGAGACAATGATTTTTCTATGCCTTCTGATAACAGCCTCATAAGGAAGCGAATTTGTAATTTGAAAATTCAACCCATTTAAACAGAGCAAATGTTATTTTATGAGGTCATTTTAAAGATGATGCCGTAATTTACATTTAACATCTGACTACAGGTGCTGAGTCCACAACTGCTTTGAGTATTTCCAATTTCACTTTAGACACTTAGCAATGCTGAAGAAGAGATAAAGAAAGGAAGGATTGCCCTAAGTATTAAGATGACTTTTGACTTTTATGTTGGCTCAAATGCAAAGCATATGAAAACATGTCCCACTGATAGCGCACTTAAATAACACAAGCTTGAATTACCCCTCTGCAAAGAGGAATTTTACTGCTAACCCATAAATGCAAAGATATCATTACTTTCACTAACAGCTTCAAGTCACAGAGGACCCATTTTTACTTCTGCCTTTATGGTCCTCTGCTTTCTACTTAGCATCTTCACACAGGTACTGAAGGGCTGAACTGTTTTATCTTGTACTCAAAAAAGTGAGAATGTTGGTACACAAAACTAAGTTGTCTGTGGACCTTTTGTGGCCCACACAGCTATATTGACTAAGTATTTTTGTTTGTTTGTTTGTTGGTTGGTGGTGGGTTATTTTTAATTCTATAAAAAACAAAAATTGTGCTCATTCTACTCTTGAAAAAAACAAGTATCACAGGTATTAATCAGCTTCTAAACCACTGTCTTACACAGGGCAGGATCCCTCACAAATAAAACTTGGCCTAAGATATTAAGTACAATGTAAAGGCCAACAATTTGCCCCTAAACAAGATGCTTTTCACAAGACTGTGATCTTTTGAGTCAGACTTATATTTTCTTTGAGCTCCTTTTTTACAAGGAATAGTGGTAAAAAATTTGTTTTAGAAGTTCAGCATTCAGGACCTTCAACACCTCTGGTTTAATTGCCAACTTGATGTTTGGAAATTAAATTTAATTAATCCTAAATGTTCTAGAAACGCTACCCAAGAACTGACTGCATACTTTAATGCTGCTATGCTACTAAACAATGTCATTATCTATTTAAGATTTTAGACAAGAAATTTTGACTAACTGCAATTTTGGAGTAGCAAATGTGCAAGTAAACATGATCTCTTCCCAACAGGGAAAGAGATCCAGGTTTGATAATCTAATTTATTACATGCTATTGACATTTTAAATATTTTTTAACATTTTCTAACACAATACAAGACCACAAAAATCGAAAGCATTCTGAGAGCTTTTGTTATTCCTAATTTCATTACGGTTTTTGAAGGAGATAATTGAAAATATGACACAACATGCAAGAGCAGAAGTCCTTAATCTAGAATACCACGCAACAGTCATTACTGAAATCTTATTTCTGTACATACAGTACATAATTGCTAGAGAAGCAAGGGACAAACATCTACAAAAAAATAAAAGGGGTAAGTAACTAGGGCAATTAGTTCCTAGAGTTCCTTACCAAATTTAGATAGATTTTATTATGGATATACTGTAGTGAGTCACAGTGACTCATTTTTTAAAATCTCTAATCTTCTACCCATTTTACTGGGGAAAAGCATATGCTCTAAATATAGAGGTCTTCTCCAGCATTCATTTTCACATATGCTATGGATATGAGCTTGCAGATGGACTGCCACAGCAACAGAGAGCAGAGAATACTCCATGCCAATGTTTGATTACTGCCCAATTTGCTACACCTGAAGAGCCACATTCCTGTATCCAGCATGAGCATGTCTGCAATTGCAAGTGAAGTTGAAATCTTTGCAGGGTGCAGAGGATGAGATGCATTATAACTCCCCTGAGCATATGGAATAGCTGGCCTTTCCCTCCCTAGATAAATCATGCTACAGTTCTAATGCTATTGAAAGTTATTGAAAAAGTTCCACCTTCCAAGCAGTGACAGCACAAGACCTACCTCTTCCCAGGACAGAATAACAGAGGAGATCAGGCTATTGCCTGCAGCAGCAGCAGAGTACAGGACTCAGTCTGTACTCAGGCTTCTTCCAAACTTAAGCTTTTAGGAAAGTACTCAACTTTTTGGTTGAAAGAAAGCATTGACAAAAGGGACTGGACAATCTACCTGTAATCACTGAGCATCACCTATTTGCTTTATTAAGTAGTGCTGTTATGCAACTCCCTAATAAATACACTGATTATGGTTACAACTAAGGAAAAATATGTGCATACAGTAGGTGCAACACACTGGCACACATTACAGTTTATTAATGGCCACAGAGCTGAGAAAATCTGTAAGTATATCTATCAAAGAAAAAAGATGGGTGTGGTGTGGGGAACAGAAATGGAACACTGAAGTACAAGAACCAGAGCAAACACCTTTACATGCATTAAAGGCATTTCAGTGCCTCTCCCTCCATTGTACAGATACAGCTACACGTATATACACATATGTGTACATACATTACATACATATAACATGGGTATGTGCACAAATACACATCCCTACCAATCCTTGAGGGACCTGTGCCAGCTTTGTACATTCACTAGTTAACTAGTGAAGTTAGTTGACTGAAGTGGATTTTTGTAAC